ATTATGTGTTTGAGGCATCCCACCGCCTACTTAAGGTTGAGTCATGCGTTGTGCTTGTGTATGTGTGAATGTGTTTGTGATGTCTGAATGATAGCAATGGAACCCCCGGGCGGTTGGGCCACTACTGGACGCAGTAGATGGTCGGATCACTGCTGGACGGCGAGACGTAACGCATCAGTTGTCAAGTATGTTGGGGTCACTACTGGACGGCAAGACGCAATGCGGTAGTTGACCGAACATGGACTGAACGACGAGACGTAACGCAGTGCCATTGCCGAGTTTGGGTATGCAATCGGACGGCGAGACATAACGCGGTTGGTTTAGTAGAGTAGGACACCGGACTTCGAGACGTAACGCGGTGGTCTTAGTGTCTTGTGTTTGAGTTAAGGATAGAAGTAGAAAACTTCTATGAGTTAATGTTGAAACAAGTTATTAAGGATGAAAGCGAGAACGACTTCCATCTAAGGAAAGGAAACGCTAATAGCGTGTTTTAGTAAGGAGTTTGCTTAGGGCAAAGACCTTAGGTAGTAAAGCGAGACTGACCCCTTCTCACTCACCAGATTGGCGAAGGGTTAGCAGATGAGGATTTCGAGAAGAGGCAAGGCAAGGCGAGTAGCCGCACCAGCTTTTACGAGATGTCAAGGAGCTTAGTGAGGAGTTAGAGTTAGACTTGTGTAGTTTTTGATGTTTCATGATTATGAGTATATACTGGAGGTTCAAGGTTCAAAGTTTATGTCGTTTTATTGTCTATGGTTTGAGTTCACTCACGTGTTTAGGGCATTTCATTTGAAAATGATAGAGTTGTATTTGTTTTTTATGAAATTTTTTAGATTGTTTTTAATCGACTCCAGAGCCATGGTTATTTTGATTTGGTCAAAAGGATCGGGACGTTTCATGCGATGTTATGACTTTGAGGACAATGGTTGATTTATTCATGTGCCATTGTACTAGCATGCCCATGCAGTCAAACAGTTTTCACTCCCAATACATGCAGACAATTGAATCAATCATATCCAGAAAACCACAATGTGCACTATGATCAAGGAGGAGGCGTAGATCTTCCATGGTTAGTGAACGCAAATACTGAGAACTGTAAATGTTGGTGATGACCAAGTATAAATTCCTCAGGCATTCCATTATGGTGCTCTCACTCATTTGAAATATCTCATCCAAAGATTCTGTTGAGCATCCATAGGCAAGCATCCGAAAAACACTCTTAAGCTTTTGGGGTAGGGAAACTGAGTCACGTCCTACAGCATATTTGCATTGCTTGAAGTATGAGTCTTATTGAACAACATCATTCATGATTCGTTTGAAAAGGTAGGGGGCATCTGATATTGATTTGTGAAGACCCTAATGTCATAGGTAGGATTCGGGTCAAAATAATCTCACATCAAGCGTATGTGATCATTTCCTTGTTACTCCTCATTAATTTTCGTGATGATGAAATATGACGAGATTACGTTGCTTGGTGTTGGTGAAACAATATGACGGATTAGTAGAATGACCAAATTTGAGGGATCATTAATAGAAACATGAAAATAATTATTATTCAACAATATATTCAAAATTGGATGAACAGTTGGGCACAATTCATTCTTATTAAAGTTGGATGGACTTTGATGAAACAACTCATTATAATTAAATCTAGATGAACAATTGATGGCACTTTATTTATAGTATTTGTCACTCTCCTTCTTGATACATTTTCCCCTTCTATCAAAGCATTTTTAGTCCTTTCTCTAATATTTCCTATTTAAATCACAACTATTTTATCAATGAGCCTTTAATAAATTTATGTTATGATTTTGTACTATTTTGATGCCTTTTTGTATGTTTTTTGTATGGTTTTGAAGTTACAAAGGAACCTAATGAAGTTTAGATCATATTAAAGAGCTCTAGAGGACCAAAAGTTCTATGAAGAGAAGAATATGGAGCTTTCGTGATCAAGACCAGGCTCAATGACAAACAAGTCTACTAGATTTCGTAATGTGAGTCCAAGACAAGCCCAATAGAGGAAGACTCAGGCCAATCTGAAGAAGAAACTAGTGGCGGCTCAACCTCGGGTCCAACTACCACTGAGGAGACTTGGTCAAGACACGCTCAAATCATAAGAAGAGCATTGTATATGCAGCAACGAGCCAACATCGAGTCCAACTACCACTGAACTCGTCTATCTTTATGTGAATGAATGCTATGATTTTATGTCATGCTTGTATTTATCCTTATGAATGTCGAGGCTCATTGTATATGCATGGATAGTTTTCGATGCCTATGTGATGATGATTGTTGTTTATCTAGTATGAATGTTGTAGAATCATCGATCCTTATAATTCTATGATATGCTACTATATGCATTGCGCTTAGTATCATCTAGGTTGTCAATAAACTACCATCTAGTGATACCCCATGCCCATTGATGCTACACTAGTATAGAGGGGATGATCGACCATCTATACTTCGAGTAGTGTCGATGCATGATTGTTAGATCATCGATGCTATAGACCATCGATTATGGCTCATAAAGGCCCACACTTAATCATGTGTTGTCCTAACTTCCTTGGTCTTCATTAATTAGGCAATGACATGAAGCGAAAGCACGCATTAGCTAGTTAAATCTCTATTGCAAGATGCATGCACGGGTAGAGAGTGGTTTCTGTGGAAGGGATAGAGTGATACCATAGATGAACAATTGATGCATATGATGTGAATGAGCCTTAGTATGCATGATAGCATTCGAGCTTGCCTTCTTCTACAATAACATATTTTTACTTTTATGCATCTGTAAATATAAAAACACCTAACCAACTATACTTTTCTTGCTTGCTATTAGATGAAAACCCCTAACTATTTCTGAATAGTTTTTGAGTGAGTGTTTCTCTATGCATTCCTAGGGTTATCACTCGATTATCACATCGACATTTGATGATACAACTCATTATGATTATAGTTGGATCAACAATTAATAGCAAAATTCATTCCGATAAACATGTGATGAATCATTGGTCATATGAATTTATTGTGTTTTCGTCGTTGATGACATTATATTTAATGACAAATTGGGGTTCGGATACTATAACATCACCCATAGTGTTGTTATAGTAACAACAGGGGTAAAAACGGAAACTAACAACAAAATTAAAAAAATACTACATTTTCAAGTCCTAGCTGGCCTCTCTCGATCTCCTGCACACTCTTCTCCGCTTCTGGAAGGAATGCGGCTATGACTCCGATCTGGCGGCTACGATTGAGGTATCCTTCATTCCTCATCGTTCCTTCTTTCTTCCGTCACCGAGGTCGCTAGTCCTCCTGTCGTTCCTATTCGCCGCCGTCAATCCTTAGTTCGTTGGTGACCTGCAAAACAGAGCATCAGAAGGCAGGGAACAACCACAAAAACAACGATTCAACACACACGAATACGGAATCATCATCGTCATCCAGCCCGGAGCAAGAGCCAACTGTTCCACTGACCATCGGATTTTCGACGGGATAGATTGCAGGATCTTCAATGGGGAAGAAGTAAGGTGGGTCGGCTCCATCAATTCTCCTCCTTCAACCTCACATGCAGAGGGTTCTTATGTCAATCCCCCTCTGTCACCACCATCCTAGTGTCCTTCAGCTCTCAGATCCGCTCTCTCCTCTCGCTGGCGGCTTCTGATATTTCTCCGGCAACCCATCAGAAATGGAAGAAGTTATTTACCAAAAAAGAAAAAAAATTTGGAAGCAGTAGAAATCCAAACGCTGAGAAGAAGGGATGAGGGATTTCATGGTTCCTTTATTTTCACTTTCTTTCTTTAATTTTTTTGCTATGCTTTGATGTTCTCTTTTATAGATGAAGAAGGATGGGAGAGGGGGAGAGAGAGAGAGTCGGAGAGATTACGGAAGGAAGTTTTTTTTTTTTGGATTAGGAAAGAAAGATGATAATATATAAAAATAAAAAGTAATTGTTTTCTTAATGTGTTATTTTGTGGTAAAATATTATTAACACAAAAAACATACTAGAAACCTCCTAACGCAGCCCAAAAATTTCCTCAAACATCCCAGAAGTATCACAAAACAAACCACAAATATTAATAATACACACCATAAACCTCGTAATGCAGACCACAAATCGCCTAAAACATACTAGAAACCAAACAAAGTAAACCACATTTTTTTTCGAAAGCACGCCATAAACTTCTTAATGCAAACCAGAAACACGATAAAGCAAACCACAAGATGCATACAAAAAATACGAGAAACCAAACCATAAATCACAATGCACACCACAATATTCGGTGATCGTTGACTGGTCATTGAAGTTCATTGACCAAACTCCGACGACCGTCAGTGAGCAGATTCTGGCGCCGATAGGCATATTCCGGCCCCGATGACTAGATTCCGACATCGGTAAGCATATTCCGATACCGGCAAGCATATTCCGGCGATCAAAATTGTGCAGAAAATAAAAACAAAATTTAATTTTTAATTTTGTATTATTATTTAAACATATTTTTATAATGACAATTATACCCCTGCTTTGATTTTACACTAGGTCAACTCAAATATTAAAAAGTCATCACAACCCTAGCTTCCTATTGGTTGAAGACTAGTGTATCCAAATTAAACAAAAAATTACAATCAGATTTTCATCCTAATTAATTAATACTATATATATATATATATATATATATATAATTAATTAATGACTGAATTGTCCATTTAAAACGATGAAATTCACACTAAACTACATTAAGGTAGAGTAAAAATTGGAGAATTTGATACTGTTGCATTCACTATTTGAGTAGGAACCCCTATGTGTGAAGTTAGAATGCCAAATCTATGCCAAATTTAGTCCAAAATTTGACCTTGTAGCACTGCTCTCTAATGAAACCGAAGACAAAGCGTTAAGGATGAAAAAAAGCAAAACAGGGGACAAATTACACCAAAATAGGCACTTGAAGTGAGTGAAACAGATGAGAAGCAATGCAAAGTTAACGACCAAACAGAAATGAAGAGAGTTAAAAAAAAAAAAGGCAGAAACAAGTAGTAGATAACTGCTCATGTTCGGACGAGGAAATTTTCAATTACAAAGCAATGTGTAAAGTTCCTAGCTTCCATATAATAAGACCGTACAAATCAATAGGCAAAACGGGAAATTTACAAAACAAAATACATCACACGCTTCCAAAAATTCTGCTATCGAAAAAAATCCACTAGTCCCCTTTCGAATTACTCACCCCTCTCAGTTAACGTTTTCACGACGAGGTGCAACACATGCTGCTCTTGGCCGGAATCACTTGTGCGGGGCCAGGTACAAGGATTTTCTTACCAGCTAATGACCCCGGGTTGCCATTGCCCTGACTCTCGTCGGCCACTAGACTCTTCTTGTTCACAATGTTGAAGATCTCTGTCAACACGGTCACAAAGGCGCTCTCGACGTTTGTTGCATTCAGCGCGGAGGTTTCCAGGAAGAACAAGCCTTCCTTCTCGGCGAACTCCTTGGCATCCTCCGTGGATACTGCCCGCTGATCCTCGAGATCACACTTGTTGCCAATCAGTATGATGACTATATTCTTGTCAGCATGGCCCCGCAGCTCTTCTAGCCAGCGTGGGATGTGATCGAAGGTTTGACGCTTGGTTATGTCGTACACCAGCATTGCCCCTACGGCTCCCCTGTAGTATGCACTCGTGACAGCTCGGTATCTGCATAGGATCAGATCACAAAACGAAGAAGGTTCATTGAGCGCAGTTGCCAGTTTGCAAGCTCAAATATTGCTACATGGGTATATAGTCCTTGGTTAGAAGAAAGTTAAACCAACCGATCAAAGTACATAGGATTTCCAGTGTTCTGCCTTCTGCAGTACACATTGTAGCCTTCTAAGCCTTACATGACATAAAATCAAGCACATGATATTTCAGGGTATCAACCAAACCTTTCCAGATTGTTCATAGAGTCTAAAGAAAGTACTTGGAGAGGCAAATGATATCTAAAGTCAGGGATCTTTCTTTCTTTGAAATTTGTTCCTTCAGTGAAAAAGAGATTTACTTGGATTATAATCTGACTTCAGGGTAGTGCTGCCTACCAGGAAGGTCCAGCTCAGGAAAAAAATGGAAATCCAGCAAAGCCCTTCGAAATCCAACAAATTGAGCAAGAAAAGTGGCTGTACAGGCAAATCAAGAGATCTATTATGGGTTATCACCAATCAAAGCAGCCTTTAGAAACCTAGCACGAACTTTAGGGCCAACCTTCCAGTAGAGTTCCCCCAATTGATTCATTTTAGCCAAGTTCATATCAATCTCGGAGAAAATTCCAGGTTTTGCCCAAATAGGAAACCATCATAGGGATCACTCCGTTACTGTCCACACAAACTTAAGAGATCAATATTCTGCTAAACGACTACTCCAAAGATTATAATGCAGAACCAACCAAATTCCAAAATCCACCAGATCCCAAGCCATGCATATGCCTAATCGGGAAACCTAAATCCTAAACACAAACGAACTGAAGCTTAAAGGACAGCAAGAACAGAAGCGCGAGAGAGGTGGGATGGGAAACGAGAGAGATTTTTAGTACCGCTCTTGGCCGGCAGTATCCCAGATCTGAGCCTTGACGCTCTTGTGCTGGATAACCATAGTCCTGGTCTGGAACTCAACGCCGATCGTGGCCTTGGAGTCGAGACTGAACTCGTTCCTCGCGAATCTAGCGAGTATCTGAGATTTCCCGACGGCCGAGTCTCCGATCAGCACCACTTTGAAGACGTAGTCCACTTTCTGACTTGGATCCCCGTAGCCCGCCATTTTCAACAACTACTGCCGCTCTGATCCCTGGCTAGCGCTGGCTATATCTTCACCAGTTTCGATCTTTCCTCAACTCTCTCAAGTAATGGAGCAGACAGATCGACCAAATTCCGGAGCAGAAGCAGGAGCAGGTCTGGCTTCCGGCAGAGATCTTCTGCTCCTTAGGGGACTTCGTCAACTAAATTTCACTAGCGGGGTCAATCATGAAGAACGGGGAGTCGATCTAGTGTTGCCGAGACTTGCGCTCACGGAGTACGATCTAGGCTCACAAGATGCCACGTAGGAACTGTTAGTACTGATTTTGGATACGTGGCGGAACTGGATTTGATTTCTTTGGTCGGTCTAATTTTTTAATTTAATCGGCCAGCGGCCAGTAGGGATGGCAATTTCGACCTGACCCGTTTTACCCGACCTGTTTGACCTGTTTTGGGGCGGGTCCGACCCGCCCCGTAGGCGGGGCGGGGCGGGCATGGGTAGTTTCATCGACCCGATCTGCCCTGACCCGCCCCATTCTCGACCCGTTCTTGTCTAAATTACATGAAATCTTAGTCAAATTACTTTGAATTTTCCTTTTATTGCATCATATTTTAGCTATAATAAAGTTGTAAATTAGTGAAAACCTCAATTTCTCCAATAATTTAACTACAATTGTCATAATATTGTTTGTTTTCTTAATTTTATAATAAAAATAACGAATATTTCTAATATTTTTCATATAAATTGCATACCCATTGGGTCGACCTGCCCCGACCCTCGACCCGTGATCAATTACCCGACCTGGACCCGCCCTGCCACGGGGCGGGTCTGGGTACCAAGAAACCCGCCCCGGACCTGCCCCATTGCCATTCCTAGCGGCCAGGCTTATGCATTTCCTTATGTACCACTTTATTTGAGTGGGCCGTTTTAGAAATACTGAGGGTGGAGAAAGATGGGCCATTTGTGAGGTCCATGTGACTTGGTCCAAGATTAGTGTCTCAGATGGGCCGAGTAAATTGAGCCCGAGACGAGGAACCAAGGCCCGGCCTTGAAGCATCAAGTGACCGACGGGAGGCCTTTTAGTTGTTCCCTCGTCACGTCATTGGTTGGTTGTTGTCATAAACCAACTGGTTTCAATAACTCGGTTCTTGTGAGATGTTCATATATGGTATGTAGATGTGTTAGTCGGTCTTCGATTTCTCGGGCAACTGCAAAACCGCAGCGCCATTCTCGATTTCTCGGCTGACCAAAAAATGCTGAAGAGCTTCGGCTGCCAGTGGCGATTGGACAGATTGGCTTTTGCAGGTAACCAGACGATTATCAGTGAATAGCCGCTCACCAAACGGTGTACCATAAAACCGCATGTCTCATAAACCAGCAGTCGACATCAATTTTGCCTCCTACTTCGCGATTTCAAGCCTGCTGCCCAACCCTATCATCTTCATCCTCGAGTCCTCCCAAGTCCAAATTGTAACCTAAACCTCATCTCCAATCCATGTAGTGAAGAAGAAGCACGACGAAAAGAAGGCAAACCCTAACCCCCTACCGTCAACGTTGAATCATTCTCAGTCGTAGTCGCCTTGTCCACCCGCCTCCGTCAGATGGTTGTCCTTGACGAAGACAGAGGACTCATCAATCGCCAGACTCCCTCATCTACTCATCGCTTGTCACCCCCTAATGCCGCTCCGTCGAACCCCCACCTCCGCTTCATCGAACCTCCATCTCCAATCGAACCCCCACCTCCATCAGCTCCTCCATCCCCTCCTTCAAGCATTTCTCGATCAACAGAAAAACCGCACCGCCTCTTGACAGTGATGGAGGGAGGGGGGGGATAACCACCATATTTGCGGTGACAGTGACGATGGGAAATTTGGGACCCTTCTCGATGTCAATTAATCGTAGTTGGTTTAACCGAACCGCACCGCTTAACATCCCTAATGGTACTTAACCATTTCCTTACACGTCCCTAAACCAAATCCGACTCATGGTCTTGAAGTTTGCACATGCCTTTCCATACCATGTGCTTTAAAACAAAGATTCATATTGGAGGTAGTGAGAACTTGAACACGTGATCTCAAGGACAAACTAGCTCTGATACTGTCTACATCTAAAAATATCTTGTACCACATTGATTATTTAGAAGACATTTATTCTCTTTATAAGTCCGGATTAATTATAACAATTAATGCTATTTAGACTCAGCCTCATGGGATCTGGCCACGTTGGTCATGGGATCTGGCCACGTTGGTTGCGATGACTGCGTTGGTCGTGAGAGGACATGTTGTGTGGAGTCACAAGGAGACTATGAAATATACTAAGTATGAGATCTAGACCACGTTATTCGCAAGATCTAGACAACCTTAGTTGTGAGATCTAGACCACGTTGGTCGTGATTTTTAAGCTCTAAAGACTAAGTTTGAGATGACTACGTTGGTCATGGGATCTGGCCACGTTGGTTGCGATGTCTGACCACGTTGGTCGTGAGAGGACATGTTGTGTGGAGTCACAAGGAGACTATGAAATATACTAAGTATGAGATCTAGACCACGTTATTCGCAAGATCTAGACAACCTTAGTTGTGAGATCTAGACCACGTTGGTCGTGAGATAAAGATCTAGACAACCATAGTCACTAGATCTAGACCATGTTGGTCGCGAGATCTAGACAACCTTAGTCGCGAGATTTGACCACATTGATTGTGATATCTAGACAGCCTTTATTGTGAGATTTTACCATGTTGGTCATGAGATCTGTCCACGTTGGTCGTAATCTCTTTATGCTAAGATAAAATTATATTCTTAACTACCATGTCTATGGATATATGATTGCAATAATAAAACCTCGTAAACAAGTAAATATCAAGATAAGTTTGTTGCAATAAGAATCTCTGCAATCAAGTGAAGATCAAGAGAAGACCGTTGGATTAAGAAACTATAAGTACAAGGAAGCAAAAAGACAAGCCTCATTGAACGTCGTAGAGAAATCCTAAACAAAGCAAGATCAAACACTCTGTGATTAGCAATAGGCTTCAGAAGTGATAAAGTTTCACTGTCTGTATTAGTTGGGTGATTTTCAAGTTGTGTAGTTTCTCTCTTTAGCGTGAGTGCTTGAGAGGAAGAGAGAAAGGGGTATATTGCTCTATTCTTGTCAAGAGTGCTTGTGAGGAAAAGAGAAAGGGGTATATTGCTCTACTCTTGTCAAGGGTCTGAGTTCCACCCAAAAAAGCTCACTTGGAGTTAGATCGGAATAAGATAAAAACTTAGACACTAGGACTCAAAGGGTAAGCCACCTTTGAGCCGAGACATACAGTAATAAGCCAAACTCGGTTAACAAAAAATCTCGTGTATGTGTGTCTATCTCCCTACTCTTCTCTATTCAGTGTGTGAGTCTCAACAAGAAAAATCTCTTGAAGGTTGAAGACGGTTCGATAAGACCCAAAGCATATCTTGTCTAACACTTGGGCTTTAACTGCCAATTAAGTCCAAAGTACCAGCTTCCTATTATTCATGTTGGTCCATCTTATTGTATAAGTATATTTGTGTACAACACGTATCTACACCATGTTCATAGGAGCGAGATAGGGACTTGCCTCCGAGATAGAGGGACGAGTACCCACTTGTCCTAATGCTTGATCAATTTGAGTGATGAACTTAGTGGCGATATTTAACTCCAACGTGTACATGGGAGGACTCCTCCACTTGAATGGTGGGAGGAATCACATCATGATGTACACAAAGTCAAGGTGGTTGGCTTTCATATGAGATTCCATGGTTGGCCATTCCGACCACCTTCATGAGAGAAACCTGCAACCCTAGTAGTGTTGTTAATTGGTACAAAGTTTACCATCTGATGGCAAGTTTTTTTTATTGAACTAATGGTGCGATAAAAAACTTTCCAAACTATGTGATACAGCTGTGCTACTCCCATCTCTGGTTCCGAATTGGCTTCCTGTGGAGAGTGCTGCTTCAATTTGACTATGGTGAGTAAAGTCGACGGTAGCAGCGTCGTGATGTCGATGGCGGTGAAGGGGTCGACGGGAGGGTTGATTTCGATGACAAGGATTGGGGACAGTCGTTCAAGGTGATCATCGGCGATGGGGGGCCGTCATTGACGAACTCGCCGGCGAGTTGAGTCATTGATGACGACGATGCGCAAATTTCCTCACCTGTAAAAGGTAATTGCGAGAATAGTTAAGTTTTCAAAACAGAAACTTTTTAAATTAATTAATTTCTTTCTTAATTATCACCTTTATGATTTCCGTTGCTAGTTATTAGCCTTTATTATTCCCTTAATTTACGTTCTCATCAATAATTATCTTTTAGTAATCTAATTAATTTTACTTTTATATTTATGACTGATATAAGTTTATCATTATTGAAATTTCTTCGTTTGAACTTTTAATAGTAATTTATTTGGCTTTAAAGTAGGTATACATGTTTAAATTACTAATTTCTTTCCTTACTTTTTAAGTTCAGGGTATAAATGGATTCCTTATTTTGTGTTTAATTATTATAGTAAATATTTATTAATTTTATAATGTACAAATCTTTTAATAGCTTGAATTTTATCGTTGGTGGTTATTTTCGATAATATCGACTTTGTTGTAAGGGCAAGTTTTAATCTCTTATAATAGAGATTTCTAGCACCATAGTCGTGCCTTTTTATTAGTCATTTGCAGGTGCTCATATGGTATGAAAATAATTGAAGGACGTGCAATAATTTTCATCGATCTATCAGGTGATAGTTCGATTTTACTCGCTTCATCAAATTTATGAGATCAATTAAGCATGTTCCGTCAAAGATTGTTAATGCATTTTTCTTTTCTTTGTTTTGGTTTTTGTGGTACCTCGATACTGGTCATCCGGCATACTTCGTCGAAGGAAACTACACTCGTTGGCGGAGGACTATCTTGGAGACGTTGGGGTTTTATTTTTGTTTTTTCCCCGTCAGTGTCGTGTCTTTGCTCCTCGGAGCTTCTTCAGAGCTGCCCAAGTAGTGGCTTAACAAGCTCTTTCATCGTAGTCTGGTTGCATACGGACTATCGTAGTCGGTCTTGTAATCGTGTCGAGTCTTTGTCCCATGCCCTTTGGGCTTGCCTTGGAAAAAAAAAACTTTCCAAACTCATCGAAATCATTTTTGTTTTTATTGACCACTTCAATCACTTGACTAGCATTTCATCAAGAGATTGTAGATGAAGGTTTACATGTTGAGTGCTCTGGACAAGACTGACAACGCGAACCTCCAAGGACTGGACGTTCTCCTCCATACTCTTACCGTTATCATCCATCGTTTTGAAACTATCCTCCATCACTCGATGAAGTGACTCAACCATCTCGCCGAGATCTACACTTGGTGCCG